CCAATAACTACAATTTAATGTCAAAAGTCAAAGAGAAAAAAAAAAAAAAAGAAGAAATCCAGTTCTTTGTATATGGACAGCCTCCTGTGTCGGTAGAAGTTTGTCGGTTCTTGTTCAGCGCCGGCCGCATGGACAGATGGCTGGTGACAGTTGTTACTTGGTCAGGAAACACGAAGGACTTGTTATCGAGCGAAACGTGTGTGTGCGTGCGTGTCTGTGTGTGGTGTGCTCTGTGGGGTTCTCTACGGTGGAGGTCTGTTCGTGGATCTCCCCTGGGCACGTGAGAGCTCAGTCCAGAGCCAGCAGCGGCTGGGTGTTCTCACTTTCCCCCTGGTCCTCGTGTTTCAGTGTGCCGGCTTCCACCACAGACTGGGACCTGAATGCAGAAAAACACACATGCTAGCAGTAACCGCTGCAGAAGCACTCACCTCCCCGTGCTTCTTTTTATGAGCTTTGCTTTAGTCCATTTTCATCTTTATGACTTTTTAATTCTTTTCTGTGGAAAGCATAAGGAATTTGGGAAACTCCTTCGCATACAAGCATAAAAGCTGGGAAGGGAGTCACTGAAGATCTCAAATACTACCAAAATATTAAGTGCGTACCTACTATCTCTAGTGCTGAGCAACTTAAAGACCTGGGCCTGCAGTGCCATAAGTTCTCAATAAGTTCTCATAAGTTGGTGCTCAATGTCTTCCTTGGCAAAGCTACATGTACAGCTGCTCACTGAAAGGCAAAGTCATTTGCACAGGCACTTGCAGGAGTGAGTGACAGCTTGTGCTTGCTGCAAATCTTGAGAAATAGAAGTAAATCACATTTTTCTGATGTAAGGCTTTATGGGGCAGAGCTTCCATGAGGTACCCAAGACCAGTAAAGAAGACAGAGTTAATATGACAATGAGGGAGCTTCTGGTGTGCCCTGTCCTGCAGTTTGTCTCCCTGTCTACACCCTTGGAGGGTAACTTTATTCAGGGTTAGCCCATTTTAAAATCATTCCTGTCTTCAAGGTGGGAAGCACAGTTTATCCTTTGTTATTAATGGACTAAAAAAATCCCAACACAGAAAAAAATAATAAACACTAGAGAAAGAAGAGCATCATTTCTTGCAGCAGCAAAAATTGAATGGGCTCAAAACTGTGGGAAAGTTCAAGACTATTTCATTTTCTGAGGTCTGTGTGCTGTAATGTTTGCTTGCTGAACTATGGAAGGAGGATCTGATGCCTTTATTGTTACAGAGATTTGTTGTCCTCCATTTTCTCTGTAGTGGGCTAGGAACTGCCTCCCAGTTTGGAGGAGACAGTGACCTTCAGAGCAAGATCACTGAATGAATCTGGAACTTTTAGAAAAGGACCTTTTTCATAAGGGGGCATAGAGTCATCCAGACCAGGTATTCACGTGTTGCATAGTATTGTTATAAAGAGCCAGTTTTCTCATGGATAACTTTTAGAATCAGGAGTAGCTCTCATTCCATACATGATGCATTTGTAGTTCCCAATTGTTCACTTATGCTTTAGCTACTTTGTGAGATTAGATGTCACCTCTCTTTTGATAAGAATCCTTAATAAATTGCATCCTTTGGTACTGCAGGACTGAATACCATGACTGTGAATAACTTGTATGATAGTTATTCCTATTCTTATGCCTGGAGCTTTCATTAAAGCATAATAAAAATAATTCATTTGAAAAAAATCTTCAAAGAAAGATAAAAACTGGATGCTCAATGACTTTATGCCATAATTTTCAAAGAAATTATGTTTGCCCAAATGTTTTCAATGCATATGTTTTACAGATATGTGACATGAATAGTGATTTATGATTGCATTTTAACATAGAAAAGCAACAGATTTGGGAGATTACGCTAAATAGCAATTTACATATTTCTAGGATGAGGCAGCAAAAAATAATGATGTGGCTTTCAAACTGTTATGGAATGGATTGAAATCTCATCATCAGGTTTTTATTTTCTTTTTGACTACCAGATCAAATTATTATTAAATAGTATCTGATTAATACTCATCACCAGACAATACTCATCTGACCCACTGCCCTTCAATGAATATCAAAAGTTGTGTATCCTTTGCAGCATTTCCCAACACACAGCTGAAAGTTTCTGCTCTAAGTCAACTGTGAAAAATCTGAATTTTTTCCTTTTGTGATCACTGCTGATCATCTCTGCTCTCATCTCCTTACACACTCAAAAATTCTTGCATTTTGTAACAGCAAGATACCGGGTTCTCCACCATACTGGTACTTGGATGCGCACCACCTTGGGAGCAACATAATCCCAAATTCTATGTGCAGGTCCTCTTTACACAGAAACAAAACATCCAGAGCACCAAGTAAATGTGTTGTAACCCACCTGACCTCCAAATTCCAAAAGCCAAATGATTCAAATGCTATGTCCAGCCCTTCTGAATAATGCAGAGAGGGATCCAACCGAGGTTTTTGTATCCACCAAGCTCTGGCAGCTACAATTTCTTTTCCATTTCTGCTTAGATTACTATCCTAAAATACACAATTCTGATATCTCTGTAGGGCACAGTCATGGTTTGAACAATCATTGTTATTTGCTAAGATACCACAAATAAAGGACTTCTGTTTGGATTTCCATTTTCCAAATACATCAGGGGAGTCTTTGCTGAAAAGTGCTTCCACTTTTGTTTTTAACTTACTTTTTATGTAGAAAATTAAAAAATCAGTAAATTTTGAAAAATATTCCAAAACACTTTTTTTCATATTCTTCATTTATGGTAAATATTAAAAATGTAGATGGTCAGGAAAGGATTTTGACAATATGAATCAATGCAGCTCACAATCTAATGTAATAACTTAGCATGAGATATGTATTTCAGTGGCCTAAAACATCCTGAATGCATTCTATACTTTATTTAATGATAGAGAAAAGATGATTTGCAGTAGGCCACAGTTGCAGAAAGCATTTTCAACCGACCAGTATCTGTAGAATCACAAAATATGCTGAGTTGGAAGGGACCCATCAGGATCATCAAGTCCAAATTCTGGCCCTACACAGCACCATCCCCAAGAGTCACACCATGTGCCTGAGAGCGCTGTCCAAATGCGTCATGAACTCTGTCAGGCTTGGGGATGTGACCACTCCCCTGGGGAGCCTGTTCCAGTGACCAACCACCCTCTGCATGAAAAATCTTCTCCCAAGATCCAAAATAAACCTCCCCTGTCTCAGCTGCATAACATTTCCTCAGGTCCTGTCACTGCTTAGGAGAATAAAGATTTCGGAACCTGCCCTTCCACTTGCCCTCATAGGGATGCTGAAGACCACAGTGAGGTCTCCCCATCTCCTCTGGGCTGAAAAACCAAGTGACCTCAGCTGCTCCTCATGTGGCTTTCTCTCCTGTCCCTTCACCATTCTCATTCCTCCTTTAGACACTTATTAATAGCTTAATAGCTTTATCTTGTGGCACCCAGAACTGCCCCCAGCACTGGAGGTGAGGCTGCCCCAGTGCACAGCAGGGCAGGACAATCCCTTCCCTTGCCCAGCTGGTGATGCTGTGCCTGATGCCCCCCAGTACACACTTGGCCCTCCTGGCTGCCAGGGCACTGCTGTCTCATGTTCAGCTTGTCATCAACCAGGACCCCAGGTCCCTTTCCACAGCACTTGTCTCCAGACTCTTGTCCCCCACACTATTCACACAACCAGAGTTGCCCCATCCCAAGTGCAGAATCCTCGTTAATCTCCATACAATTGGTGATTGCCCATCTCTCTAAATTGTCTATGTCTCTCTGCAGGGCTGCCTTGCCTTCAAGGGAGTCAACAGCTCCTCCCACTTATTGTTGTATCCGTCAAGTTGTTGCATCCACATCGTTAATGAAGCTGTTGAGGAGCACAGGGCCAAAGATGGAGCCCTGCAGAGCCTCACTAGTGACAGGTTGCCAGTCTGATGTCACCCCTTTCACTGTAACTCTTTGTGACTGACCCATGAGCCAGTTGCTCCTCCATCACATGGTGTGTTTATCCAATTTATCCAGTGTTGGCTATTTTGTCAGGAAGGATACTGTGATAGACAGTATCAAAAGCTTTGCTGAATTCCAAAGAGATTTCATTAACTGGCTTTCCTAGATCAGCTAGGTGGGTTACTCTGTGGTAGAAGGAAATCTGGCTTGACAAGCAAGACTTTCTCCTCATCACTGTGCTGAACGTGACCAATGACTGCATTATCCTCCAGGTGTTTTTAGTACCTCCCAGAGTAATTTTTCCATGATTCTACTGGGCACTGAAGGAAGACTGACAGGCCTGTAGTCTCCATGGTCCTGCTTCTTACCCTCCTTAAAAATTGGGACATTTGCCAGATTTCAGTCAGCTGGGACTTCTCCAGATCACCAAGACCACTCAAAAATAATCTAGAGAGGCATTGCAGTGACATCAGATAACTTTGAGGATTCTCAGATGAATCTCATCAGGCCCCATAGATTAGCAGGGATCCAGCCAGAGCAGCAGATCCTGCTCAAGTTCAGCTGGGTCAGCTGGGAGTTGATCGTTCTCACAGTCATGGTCCCTCAGCTCTGGGCACTGAGATCCCCTGCATTTTTTGGCTGTATAAATTAATATTAGACAAATGCTGTTTGGAAGAAGCACCCTATCTGTTGGTTTCATCTGGCTTTTGTGCATCTAGTACACATTTTTAGTTCAAGGAAAGAGGTCACATTCTAGGTATGTGCAAGTTTACACACTAAATAGAGGCTTTGTATGCTGGCTCTAGCACTGAACGTAGGACTAAGACTAGTTCTTATTTTAAAAGTACTGCTACCTGGTTTAGCTGCATTAACATTTTATTCAGAGGATTTCACAACCACAATTCAATTTTTTAAGACAATCTGCTCATGATTCTTGTAAAGGTATGTGTGTATCTAGTTGCACCTTAACCTCCTATCGAAAAATAAATTGCAGTAAGACACCAAAGTACCTTTGCCCTGACTAGTCCTTGTAAATTGCAACCATCTTTGCATTCAAAGCACCCTCTTGCAGAACAATTTAAGTAATTTTGATTTAAAATGGTAAATGAGCAGTACAAAACTTCCCTTGTTTGGCAAGCAGGGTTTAAGCTTTGGCCCTGTCAATTCAGTGGATACTGTTCTGGTGGTATCTCATGGCCAGCAGAAGTTGTTCGTGGCACCAGACAAAAGCATTTCTGTTTTGCTGTCTTTCCATATCAATATGTTCAAATACCTGATGGGGTGGAGTAGTGGAACACAAAAGAATCATCTCAGTGATACTCAGTGACAGAAGAGGCAGCAGACATCAATGGAAATACAGGAACTTCCATTTTTTACTGCGGAATGTTTAAACACTGAAACAAATTGCTCAGAGATATTCTGGAGTCTTCGTGCTTAGAGACATTCAAAAT